CTCCCTCTTTTTTTTTTTTTTTTTTTTTTACATCTGGATCTAGTAGAGCTGGAGAATTAATCACATGCACCTGCTTCTCTCTGATCTGTGTTTTACCCTCACACACTTCAGATTCATGCTCTTTAAACCTTCTCCCAGTATAGTGTTTCCAAATGAGCTTTTCCCAGAACCATTTCTGTCCATCAGAAGAATCCAGATCACTGGATAGTCTGAACGGTAGCTGATCTCTGAAATCTTGATCATCTGGATGGTAGCTGATCTCTGAATTTCTCTGAAATGTCTGAAATTAAAATATGGAATATGATATTGAAGTTATACTGTCATTCTTCTCATTGGAGGTCAAGACTAAGAAAAGAACAAAATGTTCATGTTTCACAATCAAACATTAAAAATTATTTTGCTAAGTGTGTAAATGAGTCTTAAACTAGAACTGTGTAATATTTATTTCCACTTGAATGAACACTACTGCAATCCTTTAAAAAAAAAAATCTAAATCAGTATGAAGGTATTTTGTGTCTTTATTGAAACAAATCGGTGCTCTCTGACAATTTGATACAAGTGATACTTTAATTTGATACTCCTGTAGCATCCGTGCAGCATCATTGTAGTACAATGTCTGATAATTCTGCTTGAAGTTAACTGTCTTGGCTAATTCGTCTGTCCGCAAAAAGAGCTACCCTCCTACTTCCTGCCCTCCAGCTGCATTTCGCGCGTCATCAGTGACGTCATGTGCAAACAACCCATTCCTTACCAATTTGCCAATAATAAGCTGGATCCTTGATGACTCTACAAGGAGGAAGAAATGGTTTACTGAAAAGTTCTTAAAAAGCAGGATTTCATTTTATACCATTCCTTTAAACCAGTGGTTCTCAAACTTTTTATACCAAGTACCACTTCAGAAAATATTTGTCTCTCTTTAAGTACCACCATAATGACCAGCATTAAATTTCAGCAGCGTAGTAGGCCTAACTATTTAGCTACAGCTCTGCACAGTTAAAAAATTAGGCAGTTTTATTTCTAATAAGAAAATTTGAAGAGTTTGGTTCCAAAACGCCATAAACGCCATTTTTTAAAAAGTTGAGTTTGCGCCAAAATCAGTATTATATCTGGTCGGTATTGAAAAGTAAATTTTTAATTTTACACAAAATGCGATACCGGCCGAGTTATTCTGTCATGTTTTCTCCCTTTTTTTCCCAAACCGAGACAAACGCCAGTCCCCCTTCTCTGCCGAATGCGATATATCCGCTCAACCAATCACAGCGCACCATTCCACGCACTCTAGACAGTAATGGCGGCGCTTTGAATACACCCGGCATCCTAGTTTTCCTCATCTACTTTGTACTTTGTGATCAACAAACAAGGGCTGTACTATAAATCGCATGTGATTGTCATGCACATCTCGTCAGTAAAGCCGATTCTGTGATTAATAGTACCGGTAAATCCAGGGCCGCTGCTGGCCAAATGGGTGCCCTAAGCAGAATTGTATTGTTGTGCCCCCTCCATCAAATATTATGGAAGTAAAAAAAAAAAACACCTACTATAGGGATCAAATAGAACTTTAATAAAATATAAAAGTAAATGAATTAATTGTAATTAAATTATATTATTTACAAATTACAATTGTAGTTCTAGACAGTTACCTATGGCTATGATTTTATTAATACAGTTGTCTGATTGATTTTATAATCTCAAGCATTCAGAAATCACGCAAAAGAAAATTAAGTCGTTTTACTACAATAAAACCATGGTTAATTTTCTTTTAGTAAATGAATTAATTGTAATTAAATTATATTATTTACAAATTACAATTGTAGTTCTAGACAGTTACCTATGGCTATGATTTTATTAATACAGTTGTCTGATTGATTTTATAATCTCAAGCATTCAGAAATCACGCAAAAGAAAATTAAGTCGTTTTACTACAATAAAACCATGGTTAATTTTTGTAAGGGTTGTGATGTCCACATGTTTTTGTTGAAGTAATTATAGATGCTGTAGTATTTCTATTGCAAAAAGGTGGCCAAAAATTAAAGATTAAGTGAATATTTGAATTAGCCTAAATGTTTGGTCAATATTAAACAAGGATTTGATCGTCCTGTAAGTGTAACAGCAGCAATTTCCAGGCCTTTGACTCCCTTTGCAGGCATTTGTAATGTACATAAATTGATTATTTTGTATTACATTATGTATTTTAACATTGTTTCATTATTTTAAAATTGACGTGTCGTTATTGCCTCATTGTTTTTATATAATACATTTTAAGTAATTTTAAAGGCTGTTGTTGGCTTAGGTCTGTTTTTATAACCACAAAAAAAAAAAATCCTAATACTTCTTTGTAAACTTTGAAGTAGCAAAACGTACTCTGTTACAAACGTAACCTCAGTTCCCTGAGATACGGGAACGAGTACTGCATCTGCTTAAGAGCCTGCCAAATTGGACGGGGCATCTGGCTATATAAGCGTGCACTCTGCCATAGGATCCTCAGGTTACTTCGACTGAAGCGACGACCGAGTCATGCAGCTACATTGCACGGCCAGCAATGCAGTACTCGTTCCCGTATCTCAGGAACAGAGGTTACGTTAGTAACCGAGTACGTTCCCTATCGATACTTCACTCGTACTGCGTCTGCTTAAGACGCTTTGGGGAACCAGTACAATCCCGCCATGCTATGTTAGAGGAACGACCCATACTTGAACTTGCCTTGAGCACAAAGGGCCCAGAGGGACCAAGTAATTGCAGGGAAGCCCCGCAAGAAGCGATAGCGCAGGGCCGACCAAAATGAGTTTGGCCCTAAGTAATCGTTCCAAGCAAAAATCGAACAGCCTCGGAACCCAGTGGGGGCCAAGATCGTAAAGAGAAGGCAAACGCCTGATTAGCACTGGTTTTGCTAGAGTAAATCCATCTAAGCAGAAAGGACCCGAGCCTGTAAGGCCGGGACATCCAGATTATAAAACCTGGTAAATGTGGACTGCGAGGCCCAGCCGGCCGCTGCACAAATTTCTGCAATGGAAAATCCGCTAGACCAAGCCCAGGAAGAGGCAATGCCTCTTGTTGAGTGGGCTCCTACTCCCATGGGGTATTGAAGGCCCAAAGAAGAGTACGCTAGCTTGATACCGTCAATTATCCATTTGGAAAGTCTCTGCTTTGTGACCGGGGACTCTGGTGCGGTCACCGAAGCATACAAAAAGCTGATCCGACTGCCGGCATTTGTAATGTACATAAATTGATTATTTTGTATTACATTATGTATTTTAACATTGTTTCATTATTTTAAAATTGACGTGTCGTTATTGCCTCATTGTTTTTATATAATACATTTTAAGTAATTTTAAAGGCTGTTGTTGGCTTAGGTCTGTTTTTATAACCACAAAAAAAAAAAATCCTAATACTTCTTTGTAAACTTTGAAGTAGCAAAACGTACTCTGTTACAAACGTAACCTCAGTTCCCTGAGATACGGGAACGAGTACTGCATCTGCTTAAGAGCCTGCCAAATTGGACGGGGCATCTGGCTATATAAGCGTGCACTCTGCCATAGGATCCTCAGGTTACTTCGACTGAAGCGACGACCGAGTCATGCAGCTACATTGCACGGCCAGCAATGCAGTACTCGTTCCCGTATCTCAGGAACAGAGGTTACGTTAGTAACCGAGTACGTTCCCTATCGATACTTCACTCGTACTGCGTCTGCTTAAGACGCTTTGGGGAACCAGTACAATCCCGCCATGCTATGTTAGAGGAACGACCCATACTTGAACTTGCCTTGAGCACAAAGGGCCCAGAGGGACCAAGTAATTGCAGGGAAGCCCCGCAAGAAGCGATAGCGCAGGGCCGACCAAAATGAGTTTGGCCCTAAGTAATCGTTCCAAGCAAAAATCGAACAGCCTCGGAACCCAGTGGGGGCCAAGATCGTAAAGAGAAGGCAAACGCCTGATTAGCACTGGTTTTGCTAGAGTAAATCCATCTAAGCAGAAAGGACCCGAGCCTGTAAGGCCGGGACATCCAGATTATAAAACCTGGTAAATGTGGACTGCGAGGCCCAGCCGGCCGCTGCACAAATTTCTGCAATGGAAAATCCGCTAGACCAAGCCCAGGAAGAGGCAATGCCTCTTGTTGAGTGGGCTCCTACTCCCATGGGGTATTGAAGGCCCAAAGAAGAGTACGCTAGCTTGATACCGTCAATTATCCATTTGGAAAGTCTCTGCTTTGTGACCGGGGACTCTGGTGCGGTCACCGAAGCATACAAAAAGCTGATCCGACTGCCTGAACGGGGCGGAACGCTCAATGTATACTCTCAATGCCCTGACGGGGCAGAGTAGATTTAGCTCTTGGTCCTGCTCCGAAGGAGGAAGCACCGAAAGAGCTATCAGCTGTGCTCTGAACGGAGTCGAGAGCACTTTAGGTACATAACCATGCCTCGGCTTCAGGACAACCTTGGAGTCGTTGGGCCCGAATTCGAGGCAGGTAGGGCTCACCAAGAGAGCCTGCAGATCACCCATACGCTTCACCGATGCTAACGCCAGTAGCAGAGCGGTCATTAGTGTCAGGGGACGAAGGTCAATAGACTGTAGCGGCTTGAAAGGAGGGCTCTTCAGAGCCCTCAACACTGTAGGCAGGTCCCATGTAGGGACGGTGACAGGGCGGGGCAAATTGTGCCTCCTAGACCCCTTCAAAAAGCGAACAACTAGGTTGTTCATGCCCACCACCTGGCCAGCTATAGGAGCGTGTGAGGCTGCTATACACCAGGCGGAGAAGACCGACCATTTAAGGGCATA